CACGCAATTAGAATGGGGGCGCCGCCTCCCCCTTTAGTTGTGCGCTGCTCAGCACACCGCAACGCAGGCCAGTGCAGACAGCAGCAGGAGCAGCAGCGGCGCACGCACCCACACATGACGGCCGCTGCCGTCGGGCATCACAGCCTTCTTGGTGTTCAAGTCACTCAGTTCAGCGGTCTGCTTGTCTGTTATTACGGTGTCCGCCACCGACTTGGCGTCCTTTCCCTGCGCAGCGACTGCGTCTGCCCTCTTCCTGGCCTCCTCCCGCACCATCTTGCTTTCCTCCGCTTCTCGCAGTTTTCTTTCCTTAGCCTGACGTTGTTGTTCCTCTTTCTCCTTGGCAGCCCTCATTTGTTCTTCCTTGGCGGCCTCCTCACGCTTTTTCCTTTCCACCTCCTCAAGCCTTCTCCTTTCCGCTTCGGCGCGTTGTTCCTGTTCCTTCTGGGCAGCCTTCAATTGTTCTTCGCTGGCAACCCTTTCCGCTTCCGCCTTCGCCTTCGCCTTACGTGCCGGCTCAGCGATCTCTTCGAACTTTTTTTGGATCTTCTCCAATGCAGTCATTGCAAATTCCCGCAGCCCAACTACTGCCGCCATCTCACGCTCACAGTCAAGCATTGCTGCATTTGCCCTCTTGGTCAAATTAGTCACAGCAGCTGACACGTTTTCTGGTTTCAACGAAGGGTTCACCTTACCTGCGTCGACCAAAAATGTGTTTATCATGCCTCTGTTCCCCGTTGTTGCTCGGAATGAAACATCAATGGTAGTCAAGGCAAAATTAAAATTCTTCAATTCATTCGCGACAGCATCTTCCACGCCTGGTGTTTTTTGCATTTTATCCACCTCATCCTTGGCTGTATTCACTGCGTCGTATTCACCGGTGACATTCGCCAATGCCACTTCGGCTCGTTGCAAGTATTCTTTGATTGTCGTTTCACCCTCTTTTATCTTATTCTTTTGCTCAGCGGTCGAATCAGCACCTTCCTGCCCCAGCAGCAGTGGGCGAAGCGACGAGGGCCCCCGGGCGCCGCCGCCATTCCCCGCCGC